ACGTGAGTGATAGAATAAGGCAAACACAATATAACATCATGTCAAAGTAGGCCGGTTGACGAGGATGAAAGATATACATTGCTTCAGCGATTTACCACTTCCGTCATCCACAATGGTTGCATTCTCTGGCAGTTTCTTGCTTACGTGGCCTATATGAAGTCGAGGGTTTGGGTTGGCCGAATGACGATTTCGGCTGCGTCGCGAACTGAACCACATGCTACATCCTTTGATCGTGCATTTGTGCATTTCTTTTAAGTGTACGGCACTGTAGTGTATCTTGAGAGCACCTACAACAGCAAACATGGAGAAGCATTCAGTTTTGAGAGTAGGTTAGCGACCAGTGTAACCATCCACCTCATGGATGTTATCCCCATCGAATGAAATGAACAGCAGTAAATGAATCGTTGAAAACTCTGGACCACAAAATCAGACAGTTTTCCAATAGAATTAAAGTGTGTATAGTTGAACTACTTCCTTGTTTATTGATTGTAGTAATCAAACCTGACAGCTAGCTGGCTTCTGTCGGGATCAAAGATAGTTTTGACTACAATGTCCTTCGTGTACCCTGTGGCCGAGTTACATGATGTACATCTATCTTCAGTTAAAGCAGTTGAGAACTCGAATGAATTTGGATGGTGACAGGTAAAATGCTGGCAATGCTTGTTTCACTGGAGGTTCCGTGGAGATCCTGATTCGAGACCTGAAAATCTGGCTTTCCATTCTGATCAGTCGATTGTAGGAATGTTCTTGTATTTTGTGTTCTGTAGGACTACTTTACCCCAGTGAACGACCACGAGTTAATTTACTGCCACCAAATCTGTTGTGAACACCCGGTCGTAAGACCAGTGTGCCAAATGTAAGTGTCTGTCTAGTTACTATAGAGTGTAACTTATTTTCTACTATAGGCACTGGTCCCAACAAAAACAGTTAGCTCATCAAATGAATTAGTGTCAGCATAATGCCTCTCCAAACACTGTAAGCTGATAAGTGCTTGAATTTTCTTGATTAACAATCCAGTAACCCTGGTGTCCCTGTTTACATCTGAAAAAGGTTATCATCCATACACAATACTTGCATTCACTGAATTCGGTTTACTAACAACCACTAGTTATTTGGGATAACTTAACCTACCTTTGTCACAAAACGACTTCTTACAAGAAGTACACACCACACGCTTCTTGTTCCTTGATAAAGTCGCACCGTTTACAGAAGCAGAACAGTCTTCTGTACAGTCCACGTTACCAGCTTGTGTTTGCCCAGCACGGTTGCTTGGTAATAAATAGATCGATCGTTTCGGAAAGTCTATCTGGTGCCCGTTTGGACGTTTGTGTCTTCTAAGCTGACCAGACACACTGAGTCTTTGTTTGACTGACAGATAAGTTGCATCCAAGCCGTGTAATCGATACAGCCTCGTCAGCGCATCTGTGGTGCGCATTTCTTGGTCACTGGCAAACGTATTTGAACCGGCAGGATTGAACAGAACCGGGTGAGCCAACGATGTGGAACTAAGTTTGTACTGGTTCTTTGTTTCATGGGGTTGTTCTGATACGCTCGTCGGATTACTGTTTTTCTGGTCTTTTGAGAATTGTTGCCCGTTGTGTACGTCATTAAGGATATCCGTTGAACTGAATAGTTGTTTGGAATCATTTGATTTCTTAAATGGTTTGTTGTAGGCGTTCAAAGATTGTGCGTGATTTCTAAAGAAATCAGCGACCATTTTGGATCCAACACATGACAACATACCGCTTGGGACTGAAACAAGAGAGAAAATAGGTGCGTAAATTACAAACCCTTTCAGATGGGTAGTCGGAAGCTAGAAAATTGTCCGGTTAGTATCTCAACTCTCGTATTCCGCAAAACACTTAGGTCAGTCTAATTCCAGAAGAAGTGTTAATATCAATTATCTCTCTTGTTGGAGCTCACGATTAGTACACACTTTTATCCGTACTGGGAAGTGAACCGTCGTTCTCTCGTTTATGCTGAGCACTGCACCTATGAACTCATTTTGAACATGAACGAATACTCACAGATAAGCCTACAGCCACATTAGCCAATGAGAAATATTCATTTTCCAGGTCAATTATAGCAGGTATCAACCCGATAGATTGAGGTTAAAGTTTGAGCAGAATTCAGATTATCACCAAGTTGATTTTACAGTTAAGCTGCAAACAACGTTCATTTACAGACTACAAACAAGTTTTCAAGAAAGGCTGATTCCATCAAAATTACATCATCTCAAACAGGTCTGCTATAAAACGCGCACTGTAAGCCTGTAAATGATGTGTATGACATGCCTCCATTTATCTACGACTGAGAATGATTTGCGTACAAATAGCGACTATATACTGTAGCCGTTCATGTGCCGTCAAGTAGCCTGTAAGTTTTTGTTACATTGTTTGTGTTATCCATGGAAGCTCTCTCCTTTACACACACTAAGTCACCCGGATGATCCTTTACGATCAATGGCGCATAGAGTATACGGCACCTTCAGTAGAAATCCTGATTATCAGTTTGAAAAGTTTGTCATATTGTTTTCGGGTTAATTCTGATCTCTGTTTGCTATTATTCGAAATGAAACAAACCAGTCACCAACCTATAGGTGGAAAGGCTCATGCTTGTTCATTGCTTACCTGGATCAAACGGTGACAAGATGACTGGGTTAGCAGAACATGAACTACTGATAACTTCACTGTCTGTACCACCACTTCCTGGTTGTGACATGCTCCATGGATTGAGGTTCAAAACAGAAGACATATTTGCTGAACCAAAAGGCAACGTGCAGAGCGCATTAGACGAGCTAGTGTGTTCGGTACTCCCTTGTGGCATCGGTGGCTTCGACCGAATTGCCGCAGCCAAGGCCTGAATCATTTGTGGTGAGAATGGCGAACCAGACGAGCCAAATTGCAGAGAAGATGTGGGGAAATAAGGTGGCTGGGTACCGAAAAGCAGCTCTGTATAGTTTGACATGAATGGAGAACATTGAGGTTGAAAAACGTTAGGAAGGTTCAAACCGGGCAATGACAAGGGAATTTGCTCAGCATCCTCACTTTTATTTATGACCTGACCCACCGTGGACTGTTTATTCGTCTCCAACTCGGCCGCGTTATTCAGTTCAGGATGCAGTTGGTCGAAATTCCTCATACACATCATGGATTTTATTAGATTTTGTGATTCTGGCAAAAAGGAGCTCAGATTTAGCGAGCTTGAATGCATTAGTGTCTCACGCACTAAGGCAGATTCTGTCATGTGGGGTACAAACCCTCCAGGAAGGCACTTTTTGCTTGCCATCGTTTCAATTTCGGTCAAGTTTCTCGAATGTCCCCGAACATTGCTTGTCAATAAGTCCGTAATTTCATCAGTAACCTGTTCATTAAGAGCATTAGGGAAATTTCCTATCGGATTTGGAGTGGGGCGCGACTGAGGTCCATTTGTCCGATTAGTGAATTTAATCTCATTTGACGGTGATACAGACGAAGAGGAACTCTCAGACAGTGATGAAACTGTTAGTGACGGAGTGGCTGGGGAAGATTGCGTAGTGGACATTGTACGATGATTTTTAATTTCACAGGGTGACTTCGTTCTTGAAAGTCTTTCGGGAGAAAGATTGGGGGATGTTAAATCTTGTTTGAAAGACTGTCGTGAACTGAGCGAGGTGTGTTCATAGTTTAAACAGTTTGCGACCGGCGAACGAAACCATGATTGTTTGGATGGTGGCGACGGGCTCTGAAGTAATTGAACGTTTTGTGTCAGCATAGTCTGCGCTAAACTTCGCGTTTGTGGGAAATACAAAAACTGCTGTATGACGAGTTCTTCTTCCTCCGGCCGGCACATTTCCCAGCTGTCTCTTGGTTGCCCGTCGGAATTCTGCAAATCAAAGGCGAAAATAATTGGACTAAAAATTACAAGACATTTACATTTGGTCCTAATCTGGGAGGTTACCGTGATCGCCTCATACTTTTGGAAGAGGGCACAAACTACAGACAGAATAGTTGCTTTGAACAACCCGACGCCAATACACTCAGTCAACTTACCCATCAGAATAGATACAGAAGACAAACAAAGGAGATCGTAACTCAGTATGGACTGCTATTAAACACTGGGCTAATAAAAACTTAGCACATACCGATTACACAGTGATATAAATCACCTAGAAGTGTCAGTTTTACTGGTTATACGACTGCTGATGTTTATTGAATGCAGAGCTGTCTCCCAGTTGGCATGAGTCTGAATCATTGACACTGCTCTACCTCCATACGCTTCCCAAATGACTGTACCGTATTCACAGTCATGTTCGTTTAAACCAACTACTGACCCCCACAACTGATGAGTCGTTATGCACCTGTTACTAATGGATAGACGTTATGTTCGGTGAGTATCCAGGTTCATTCTCAATTGGGCCACTTCTGTTCCTTCAGTCCGAACTACAAATGTGATACAGTGGTCTCTCTTCTCGAAGAGATGCCCAAGGGTAGGTACTCAGGTATCTGTAAATGAAAGATGTCTCTTTTTAAGGGCGAACTTCATGAATTCACATATCTGTGAGTAGTATAAAAATGACGTATTTCATTCAAAAAACCTGATGGGGATAACCTCCCGCGCGAACTCAAGAATGTATACGTAAACTGAATTGTGCTTGCAGTTACAGAGGCATGATTGACTAGTTTTGGGTGATTCTTTGCCTCATGCCTCGTTATGCAAAACACAATCGTATAGCATATACGTATCGTTGTAGTAAATATAAAGAATACGGAAATCAATGCTTTGTTAAATTTATCCACATTTGATGCCGCATTTATCTGATAAAACACACGCCGCAGAAGCGCTTTCCCGTTGGACATTTCAAAATTTTCCGTTCAATCTGCATCTAGGAAGTACTCTGCTGGTGATAACCATTTTCATACACTCTAGATGAGGTTCAGCATAAGCAATGCGGCGATCGAGTATCGGCATATTTTATGCCCTCATCTACCTTAGTTGTGGAATTTCCGAGTTCCTGGCGTGGCTTTGTAGCTTAGCTGGTAGAGCGCTTGCTGTGTTGAAGCAGGGTGTTTCTGTCACTGGTTCGAATCCAGCCAAGGCCCTGACTTTTCACACTTGAGTCTCACCCAAAATACCTTAGTTGTGTTCATTTTTCTTCATTATATTTTCGGCCGTGCGGTGGCTGTACTTATCTTCTTCTGGAATTCCTGCTGAACTCCACTTTTTGTCGATTGATTTCTTTTTAAACAATAGAGGATTCAGACTTTTCAAATAAAGGAATAATAAATTCTCACCGTCGACACTGAAGTACGGCGTGACAGTAGGACAATCTCTATAATAATTGTCTCTAAAGCATTAGTACTACTTTGGTGCTAGATTTTCTTCGTGTATTATCGCAAACTGATGCCTTCTTTTACCAGAATTGTATAGTTCTACATCTGCGTAATCTTCATGTGAAGATTTTCTGCATTCAATCCGTTCACTCACTGTTTTCGTCGTCAGTTTGTTGAGCTTGCCAAAAAACAAACTTCTTGCGATGTTTTGATGTGTTGTCTGTTCTAGGCTCATCTCTTACCCTTCTTATAAGCACTGTATCCCCTACTGTCCACGAGATCAGCGCCTTACTCTTGTAGAGATCCATTGCTACCTTTGTAAGTAAACGTGGAACAGAAAATTATACCGTCTATGTCTGCTTGTACAGGCCAATATTTTTGTATACGCCTAGTTTCGTAAACGGCTCTCTAATAAGTGAATGACGTTTGTTGGCGCTGATTTCTTTGTAAACCAACTTAATTAACTCATTAACTTTAAGGTTTTGCAGGGAATCAGTTTTTATCGAATCTTAAATGACGTTAATTGATTTGATTACACTATTTTCGGGCTCGCTTTACTAAGTGATACCTTCTGCTACTTCTACTTACTGATGATAAGTGATGCTCACTTTTGACGAATCAGGATGGAAACTGGAGCACAAATTGGGTAGGGACGATTCACGTTGCTCTACTGGTACGTTTAGTCGAAAGAAGACCGTCTGGAAGTGCTTCGTTTTACGCTTGAAGTTACCATGGCTTACGAGATCGTTGCTGAAAACTGTTAGTTCATTCAATCACCACAGGTAATGCGACCTTAGTTATGCTCATCATTCGACCCCGAAGCAATCACAGAATGGTTACTATCTTAACATAAAGACATGAACTCAGTTCAATATCGTGGCCTTGGCGGGACGGTGATTTATGTTCTTACGTTCTGCTAAAATCATGCCTATTCTAACATCAGGGATAGACCTAATAAACTAACAGCAGTGTCCTTGAGTGAATGTATAGCTTCTAGAGGGTAGACTTTTGAGAGGGGCCGCTGTAACAGGTCGCTAGATGGCGAGGACATTCGAAGGAAAATATGTAGGTTTGAGGAGGAACTTTCCAACCTGATAGATTTACAATCAAGGTCAACAGACTGTTCTTTGAACAGACCACAGAACAACACGAACGGTACACAGCCCTTGAAAAATGATTAGCTTATTTTTATTCATTTATAATAGTGTTATTTTTTTACTTTATGACAAGTTTCCGTGTTGTTCACAATTCCTATTCGGTCACACAAAAATAAAAGCGGAATAATTATATTTCTATTGTGCTACAATCGCGAGTAGGCATCAACTTTCTGTTCAGGGTTAGGGCGGATAAAGGTGTTAGTATTGGCATACCACCCAAGTACCACCAATACAAACTTCTTTACTACACCTCCCTATCTTTACGGCAGTCTATTGATGGAATTCTGTTCACTACATGGTCTGTTTTTGGTAATCATAACTTCGACCCTGGGTTTACTATTCCATAAGGTTAAATTGAGTAGATTTGCGGCAACGCAAACAAGTTGATGAAAAAGATAGTTTTTATATACAAAGCGTAATGAGACAATTTTGATACATGAAAATAAGTATTTCGTTTTGTACCACTCAAATGAAGAAGAGACCCAGAAATTGTATTCACCGTACCAGCAAAGTGCGTTAGTCCTGTTTGGACACATGTGACGTGAACAATTTTTTCCCTCGCAATTCTCAGCAGCTGGATTTTGAAAGATATTGAATAATGAATAGTTAATTGTCACTGAATGTTAATAGTATACTGTCTCTGTATCCACCGCAGTGAACTCTTCGCCTCTCAGCATGTTTCAGAAAATCGTTATAGAGCATTTTTGAACACTTACTGCATGCGCCCTACGCATGACCTACCGTATTGCTACTGACATCAAAACATCTAATAAACTAATGTTTTTATAGATTTATCGATTGTAAAGTTGTAACCATTATTGAACATTCCATTCAGGAGTTCTGTTAGCACATTTCCCGTCAACTTCGGCTGAATTAGCAGTTACTGTTCTCATGCTGCCTTGAGTGTGTTTGATTTTATTATCGACGGTCAGTCACAAGATAATATCATACTTGTGTGACTTGTCGGACATATATTTGACCAGTCAGTTTTTTAACTTTTCAATGGCATTAACTGCTCTTCAAACGTGAGGCTGAAACGGAGCTTATTTATCTTTCAATGATTATAAGTAAAGAGTACAAACATACCTCCCACGAACAAGTAAGCCCCTGCCACTTCTCTGGTATCGATCGGTCTCGTCAGCAAAGCAGATATGTACTTTTATTGGAATAAATGAGTGACTGATTAACTGAACATAGGTGTTCCAAAGATTCCCCACAACGGGCTGAATGGATTGGCTGATTTATAATGTCACAAGCGGGCTTCAGTCCAACAGAGGTCTTCAGTCAACTCAGTAATATCTTAAAACCCACACATTCCAAAAGACGCCGTTCATTCCACAAGATAGATTTAGTAAGTGAATGAAAAGGGATAACACAAGCTCAATGTTTTTGAATGGGGCGCTGGATATGTTTAATCCAGCTCTCATCTTTCATATATAATCCTTGTTTTTGCTCACCTATGTGCACAGTATGAATTCGTCAGTACACAAAACACTCTACCGTTTACAACCTATTTTGTGTGTCCTTACATGTCTTCCCTAAATCTTTTTTGACGGTCACCTGGTCGGCTGCCTACTTCGTTTCTGCACTGAACATGTCGAGCAGATGAAGGCAGACTAGCCCGTCATATCTTACATAATCGACTGACTGGACTACAATAGTATACTGACAGTAATGAGTATAGATTAAAGAATGTCTTCAGTCATCACTTGAAAGTCTTTCTTTCCCAGTGTAACCTGAAAATGAGCAAGAATGGACTATTTCGCTACGGTGTTAATAACCGAAAGATTGTTGTCGTCGTTTCAAATATGTATTTAGAATATTCGTACTAGGCAGCGATGGGAAAGAACTTCTGGGTAGTATTGTTGTCAGTGTTTAATAATTCTCCTAGCAGACTGTATACATTCTATATGATGCTTATTGACGACGGGGATGGAATATTCGTAAGGTGATGTGCTAGATGAAATGGTAACCAAGTGTTAACAATGATAACTTCTAAACATAATGATTCTGCCATGTCGCCTGTACAACCCACACAAGTGTTTTTGAGAGATTTATGGCGTTTTCATTGTATCAACTTCCAGGAACTTACTGTGAGCACGTATCCTCTAGTGTAGTCTTGAAACGTCCAGCCGAATGGCAACAGAAGACGGATCACATCAGCCTGTAACAGCTGGACTGACAACAACCGATCAAGTAGAATCTTCACACGAATAGGAATCGCTTGACATCCAAACAGAGCCATACTTATGAACTCATATGTAGCGTTGAGTGTGGACGAGCAGTTTGGCGGACTTCTCATAGAGTCCTTCAATTTGGAAAGCGCTGAAATGAAAATAAAACTGCTACTGAGGTGTCTCACTAGACTTCTTTTGGACCATGTCTACGCCTATCGGATCATCACAGAAACAGAAAAAGGGCACGTCTTTGTCTCGTATTTCATTTCCGTATTGATTAGGACACTGACTCCATCAGTTTCGTGTTTGTTGTTGTTATGGCTATTTTGTATATTTTTAATAAGTTATTTCTCTGTCTTACACCGTTCATTGTTACGTAAATACTGTTGTCTGTGCTACTATGTACAGATCAAAGAACTACAGCAAAGACAGAAAGACCATCGCTTATAAGTTCCTAGTTTCTGTTGGTTGGAGGTTAAATTGTCTTGGACTTTTTATCAGCGTAATAAAGGTGATTGAGAAGGAAAGGAAATGAGTAGAACGTCGAGAATGCAGATACTGCGACATTGAACGCTAGACGACACTGTAGCAGATTATTAACAGACATGCTCATATGAACACTAGTGTAAATGGGTTGGGAAAGTGACAAAGAAACTTTTGGTTCGAATTGTTGTAATATTCGGAATTCGAGATTTCGAGTGATTCTGGGGACCGTAATTCAATTCAAACCTCTCACCTGAGTACTAAGGGAAAAACCCCGAACTGGTTGTAGCACGCAGTCTTTATTCACGGGACAATAACACGGTTATACATATGTACATCAGTATTTAAATAATCATTGTCCGATACTAATAGCACATGTAAAGTTAAGGTGTAACCTGACTGGTCCATCCCTGTACCATGAGCTTGACGAATAAAGGGTGATATAACATTATAACTGTGTTCAATCCTGAGGTTGTGCCCTAAAGTGACGTTGGATTGGCCCCTGCCAGATTGTCTGCTCTGTTGGGGTTTGGATAAGCGATGAAGGAAACAGGTTTTCACCAAGGTTGTATCTCGCCATAAAATAAGGAAATGTAATTCAATACTAGCAGGTTCTGGAAACAACCGAAGTTTATCCCTACAATAGCCTGGCCATCTGATACCTAATTTCCCAGAGTGATCAGTTAACTATTTACTTCTTACGGTTATGAACACAGTGTCTAGGTAACTTAATAACAGTCCAAACTACCATATGGAGACGGTTTATGAGTTTTACTGTCATGGTTACTTTTGTTTTACACGTTGAATCCTAATTAATTTCAGCCTGGTTTGTATCTCTGGTAGTTCACCTGGTAAGACCTAACTAGAACATAACAGGCTTCATACCCGAATCTTGGAAATTTTTCACTGGGCTAGTAGTTTATGTCAGATCCTATAGTTGTGCGAACAGTCA